ATCCATGAAAGATTGCCATGAAATAAATGACAATTTCAGCAACTTGGGCTCAACCATCATCATCACATGCAATTGAATTAAACAATCATTTTACAAAGTGATTCCAACCTTTAAATAAAAGCTAAAAATAATAGTTGGGAGGATCTACAGGTAGTACAAAATTAAACTAATGGATTTGCATACTTGTTTGCATTATTATATAATTCAACACAACATGTATCAAGAATTGAAAAATGATGCAAAATTGAGTGTTTGACACATTTGAGACAAACTGTACAATTTAGCACAATATGAATCAGGAATTGAACAATGAAAAAATGAAATCTTTACACAAATGAAACCAAATTTTGTGAACATTCAATCTTATTACTAAATAAACTTAAATTTTTGAAATTGAAAAAAATGGAATAGAAAAAGTAAGGGCTAGGGTTTACCTTGATGACAGATCGATAGAAAAAATAAGACTTCTGGCCTTGATCGCCACCCTTCATTTGAAAGAAGAAGAAGATTCGCTGGCCCAACCACCTCTTGGCCAAAATATAATCGTACCTTTGATCTAAGGTGCAGAAATTAAAGATTTTAATTCGAAACAAATTAGGAGCAAAAATTAATGAAACTATTCAACGCACAGGTTGTGAACGATTTTGGCAGAATAAACGGCATGAGATAGATCCTAATTTACAAAGTAATAATTGAAGAGGAAGATGGATTACAAAACAATTGAAACGTCTGCAGCAGGGGAAGAAAAAATGGAGCGAAAATAGAAGTGCAATTCCAGTTGTATTAAAAGTTCTTATTTTTAATATGGATTCTAATCCCATGAAGTGTTTTTATTGTGGTTCTGAGAAATTGCAATCTAGACTCTGAGATTTCTTTTTATTGTTATTCACTTATACAATACTCATATTCGTGTAGCACTGGTTCCATCCCTAAATGTGGTTTAGTTACATCATACCCCATGAATAAGCATAAAAAGCAAATACAGATAGCATACCTCTACAGTGGTGGGTGATTATCAGCGAACAACACTCCCCGAATAGTTTTGATGTAGGATGCTAGCCTTGAACCGCGGTTGTTATCCGAGCTGCTAGCCTGTCAAGAACCTGGCAAGAAACATGGCCATCACTAAACAATTTTTTCATTAAATTACAAATACTTTGTATAGTAAACCAGCAAGTGCTTTATGTAGTAACAAAAGAGATAACAATCGTCAGAAAAAAGATCATACCAGAGGAGTAAATTTAACAAACACCTTGTGAGCATGCTCAAACATCGTTGTTTCCACTAATAAAGTAATGCAGAAAGAACTGTAAGAGTATGAAGATATAATAAGTAACAAACTTACCTTCAAATTGCCACTAAAGGGCTGGGTTGGTGGTTACTGTCTGAAGGAAAAACGTGATGCCATTGGTTGCAGATTCAAAATCCTCATAATTTAAGGCTTTCTAGGCACCATCACAATTAGTACAGTAAACAGTGGTGTCAATACAAATCAGGATATAGAGTATAGGGTCGAGATTTGGTTAGATGAAGCCACGGACCGTGGCAGTTGGCATTCAACTGATCGGCGAGGAGCAAATTGGAGTTGGCATTAAGGAGGTGATTAAAATTCTCCAGAGAAGTTGAGGGGGTTTGTGCAAGGCTAAAATGGAGAGCTGCCCTTGTCCATCTCAGCTGACATATGTCAACACTCCACGTCATTTCCCTTTAAAAGACATGTTTAAAGTTTTATAGTGACATCACTTTCTATTAGGACTCCCATTGACAGGTTTCGTAAATACTTCCTCGGGTTCCTCCAGTAATAGTACAAAACCCACCCTGTACGTTGAACATGACAAAAACTTCAATAAAATGTAAGGGATATAAGCTAAAAACTGGAAATAAGCTAACATGATAAAGTTCTGTTCATAAAACGGATTCCATTAGTACGTTTGTAACTGTGAAGCTTTGGCTGTTTGCTGATTTATAGTATTGCATGATTCTAATGTGAAACACATATCTATGTCCAATTAGGTTTACATGATGGAGGACCTCTCACCCTTAAAATCACCATCCTAATGTATATGTCAAATTTAACCAAAGAAGAAATGGCCCCAAAGTAGATTTCATTTAAAAAATGAAATGGTGGTAATTAGAGAGAGTCATAAAAATCTAAACCGCATATATACATGCATCCTATGAGAAACTTTCAACCCATATTACATAATTAAATAATGCAGATGTTCTCCATAGCATGTAATTTTTGACTCGACGCCTTTAATATCTCTGTTTCCACACTTTTGTTTTTTCCATGTCATTAAAAAGGATAAGGTTTTACTAATACCAAATTCAAATATAACAGCCAAATTGCCCTAAGAAATTCTGAAGATTACTTTTTTTTTGTATGCAGAAGTTCTGGTGATTATTGATCATATATATGGCACTTATTTAGTGTGCTTTGCATTGTATATGACACACATACAATGAGAAAATAAATGTCACTTTCTACACACCTCAAAAGAGCTAAAAAGGAATCAATAACCTGAAGATGGTTCCACATATTCATGGACAGAACGATATATTAATGCCAAGAATATATGTTGGGTTGATGGTAATTACTTGTTTAGGTGGGTTATTCCTGCACAATTCAACATTCATTGACGCATAAACCATCAAGAGGTAAAAACTTCAAATAATTATGTAATAAAAAAATTTTAAAAAACCTTAGCTGACAACCAATCTCCATTAGATCTTTGAGGGCTACATGAATATCAACAAAAACCTGCAATTAGACCACACTTTCGATGAAATCTAAATATGTATGACCCTAAGAGTAACACTAATGTCAAAATAACTAAATACCAGTGCCATCTATAGCCTTAAAACAACAGCCCCATGCCCATCAATTGTGAATTTAGCATGGGAAAATGAACCCAGGACTGCAACCAATGTGAAACACTTCCATTGGTTCCATAACTACTTAGATACCATAAAATGTAGCTTGTTAGCCACTACTCACTAAATCTGAGCATTCCCTCCCCCAAATACAATGTCAAAATCCTTTTTCTCCAAACAGTATTTAAAACCCAAAGCTAACACCAAATGCCCAAGCCAACCCCCATAGTCACATGGCCTACTATCCGTCTCGGATTACAGTTTTCATGGCCTCTAGATCTTTAATTAGACACCTCACCAAAAGGGTTGAAAAGTAATACCTTCGGCTAGAAAAGAATAGAGTGATGCTAAAATTAAAATTAATGAATGATGAGGAAGAACAATTATACTTGTACCCCAAGGTGAAAGAACCTGCAAAACAATCAGATGTAGATATGAATACAAAGAGACCTAAGCTAATACAACACATGATAATCCCCCTGGCAACGAAGCAATTAGTAAGTAATTGAAAAGATCTTCATTTTGTTTTCAGAAATATCCTGAAATTTTATTTCTTCAGGTAAAATAGTTTAAAAATCACAAACCTGAACGGGAGATTGGAGAAGACTGAAGACAAATCCCACGATCTTCTCAGTGACGGAGCATGAAGGAGGAGGTCCCTTGGGGCGAACGACCATA